ATGGGAGGCATCCCTCCCCCTCCGCCCCCATTGCCTGGCATGGGGGGCATCCCTCCCCCTCCACCCCCATTGCCTGGAATGGGGGGCATCCCTCCCCCTCCGCCCCCATTGCCTGGCATGGGAGGCATCCCTCCTCCTCCACCCCTCCTGCCTGGAGATCATATAGAAGCCATGGTGGCCTCCCAACTCAGCTGCCCACTTGGCTCAGGTAGGCCTCCCCGCAAGACGGTGAAGACACCAACGTTGAGAATGAAGAAGCTGAACTGGCAGAAGCTGCCCTCCAACGTGGTGAGAGGTGGGTGCTTCTGCCATAAAGTCACTGCTGCTTTATGGAGAGAAAACAGGGGAGAAAACACTATCTTTGAGTTTGTCAAATGTGGCTGACTCCATTTAGATACTGAACTTCCCCTTCTGACCTGCAGAGCTTAAATAAATAAAAGTGGCATGAAACTACTAATACAATATAACAACCATTCCAACTAGATTAGTAGTTTAGAATAGCTTGTTTATAACTGAAATACTTTGAAATTAAAAGAAGGGAGAGGGATGGAAATATTTCCCTAACCCACCATGACAGGCCTTAGGCTTGAGTTCTCAGCAAGCTCTGATCTGGGTTCCCCAGACTTTCATTCTCCAGTTCATCTATGGTTGCATCTGGATATATTAAAGTCCTGAGAAAGAGTGCAGGTAAGGATCAAATCACAGTTCAAGAAGGACATTGAAAGAATTGGAGAGCCATGAGAATCATTGGCTTGTCTCTTGATTTTTGGGTTACATTTCCCTGTCCTAGCGGATCCAAAGAGAACCATGAAATGTGAGAAGAGGACAGGCAACGTCAGCTTTGTCCTAGACAAGCACGGCATGCAGTGAAAGGAAGTTGGCATAGGTGAAGTCTAAATAAGGTGTGTTTTCAGCCACAGGAGCACTTAATTGTTGGGATTGTTTCAGTAGAGACTTCTACAGGCACATTTGGGTGGTGTTATTTTAAAAAAAGTTTGTTTAAGAAAGTGCAGTGGGAATTAATTCAAGCAGTCCTATAGTCAGCATTATACAGGGAGACTTGATTATGAAATGAAAAATGGAGGAAGGTCACAGTCAGAAAATGGCCAGATTGTGGCCAGTCCGTCAGGTAGCATGCAAGTAAGCAAAAATGGCATCAGCCATGGGACTACAAAAGAAATGGGTGAGGTCCTTCTCATGCTGATCTGGTTTGCCTACCGTGGAGGAGAATGAAGTTGTATAGGGAGGGATGGGGCTGTGTAGCCTCTGTGTGCCCAGTGCTGCATCCCCTTCCCAGCACATCTTGGGGTAAAGCACCAGATTTAATTACCCTTCAGACCCTTTGGATCCTGCCTGTGGGATTTGTCCCTCCTAAATAATTAGCATTCAGGACTAATATGTCTCTTCTTATTTCATTCACCTTCTGAGAAGTGTCCCTTCTAGCAACTTGCATTGCCCCAAAAGCCAGGAGCTTTCAGCTGTCCCTGCAGCCAGGCTGAACATTTTGTCTTTTTTCAGAAAGTCACTCAATGTGGGCTTCAGTGAGCAGCAGCAGCGAGGAAACCATAGAGCCCAATTACACAAGCATAGAGCAGCTGTTTTGCTTTCCACAACCAACCCCCAAAGAGAAAACGGCCGCGCCAGTGAAGGCAGAACCGAAGGAGGTGAGGAAGTCCCTCTCGTTCTTTCGAATAAAGATCACTGCAGACAGCTCATCTAATACGAGATATCTTCTTTTTCTTTAATGAAGATCACGTTTTTGGACTCCAAGAAAAGTCTCAATTTGAACATATTTTTGAAGCAATTTAAATGGTAAGATATGGCCAGTTTTCATGACAGCTGACAAAACTTTGAGCAGGTTTTGCATATTACCTGGAAGGTCCTCATGAAATCTGTTCTAGCTAAAGAACTTTGGTGGTCTGTGTTACTGAAACATCTGAGCATTTCCCTGTTTGTCCTATACTGTCTTTAAAATACTGAGTTTAAGGGTTTAATTACCTTTTAACAAACAACATCCCTGTATTTTGGCAAAGGCGTTACATCTCCATGCTATAGATAAAGTTGTGGCACAGACTCTTAGGGTGATTTAGGCTGTGAGACACCTCTGGAGGTCAAATCGCTCCTCAAAACAGGGCCAATGGAGAAGCTAAGAAATAAATTTCCTTTTAAGGTAATCAAATGCCCAGGGATGGAGATCTGAGTTGCAGGACTGATCTCTGGCCTTAAGTCATTTGACCAGGGCCAGAAACAAATTTGGGTCGTAGCAGGGATCCAGGTCCCAATTCTAAGTTAATCATGGGGACATATCTCTCCTTTTGGATTATTGTGGCACTCACTAGGGAAAGCTCGGGGCACTTGCACAGATATGTATCTTGGTAGGTGGGATTGTGGAAGAGGGGTCTTTGGGCAACAGCTGACTCTGCTCTTCCTCCCTGCAGCTCCAACGAAGAGGTGGCTGCCATGG